AGGAGGACAAACGGACGAAAAACTAAAGTCCAACCAGTGTCGAGGGCGAAGTCGATCTAGCTGTAGAGGGTATATCAACTTCTATAGTCCACCCGTGTAATTCGGAAACGATTAACTTTAGCAAAAAATGGTCTTATTATAATTTTCTTATACAAACCCCAAGTTAATTTGAGCTAGGTGTCGCGTGGTGGTAACAGCTGGGAAAGTGCACTAACTTTATAATTTTAAATGAGAATTCAATGTGTAGAGATTAGTGACCGTTAATCGATAATTATTCAGACATAGTGAGATGCGGTCTGGTGTGATGTAGGTTTCAGAAAGACATTTTCTTTATCGTGCCAACGTTTCGATCTTTATTGAGATCATCTTCAGGGCCTGGGATTTACAAACATTGTTTACATTTAACAAATACATTTAGGATGTGGAAAAGTGAATTTATAAATGTATAAATTTATAAAGCATTGTATAAATTCACTTTTCCACATCCTAAATGTATTTGTTAAATGTAAACAATGTTTGTAAATCCCAGGCCCTGAAGATGATCTCAATAAAGATCGAAACGTTGGCAAGATAAAGAAAATGTCTTTCTGAAACCTACATCACACCAGACCGCATCTCACGATATCTGAATAATAATTGAGAATTCAATATTTTTATTGTACAGTTCGATTCTAGAGCTTATTTTATGCCATTTTACTGAGAGGAAAATTTTGATAGGATCGAACATTTCTGAGTTATGACCTACGGAGGACGCGTGAGGGGGGAGTACGCTTTTTGTAACAAGATGGTTGTTACAAAAATCTACACTCGAATGGTACAATAAAAAAATGGTGTTCTCATTTAAAATAAACAAAGTTAGTGTCATTTCCCAACCAGATGGGAAAGTTATGCTAAATATGCTACCACCACGCGATTCCTAGCCGAATGAAACTGGGGGTTTGTATAAGACCATTTTTTTCTTAAGTTAATCGTTTCCGAATTAAATGGGTGGACTGTAGAAGTTGATACACTCTGTATAAGTAACCGCATGTCCAAAGCCTTTTCTCGAAGAGTTTGACTCATTTTGAACTGTAAAGGAATTTGAGATCTGTCTGTAAAAAATAGACAAACCCAGGATCATTAAAAACGAATAAAGGAAAAACTTTGACTAGATGTATCCTTACTGACGTCAAAGGTGCGGTGAACTTAAGTTCTTAATCCGTAAAGACAAATCCAGAGTTACCCACTTCATCTTGTTTATATATCACGTTGCCGAAACATTATTCATTCGATTCTCTTCTTCTTGTTGGATCGAGAGTTTAACGGACTTGTGGCAGGAGGCGCGAGGAAAACCAATAAATATTTTTTCTTCTTCCAGAAGTAAACAAGCGGATTCCTAGCAAATGGCCAACGGTAAATCCTCCATGCAACACGACACGGCCGATTTCGCCCAACTTGCAATCCGGTGATTTATTTTTTCACCGGCTTCCATCTCGATCCGATTGCCCTTTCGGTCCCGACCCTTGACGTATCGACGATGACTTATCGGCCTTTTTATCGTTTAATCCCCTCAAACTGCGAGATTATCGTGTTGGCGGTGAAGGAATATAGAGGATAAGCTCGTTCTTTCACGTTCATAACGTAACGGTGATCGTTCAAAATACATGTGACACCTGCAATTGTGAACCTTGTTTTCATAAAATCACGTCGGCATCGTGGGAAAGGAACGCATCTCTCCATTTCTGACATATCAATTTTAAATTCGCCGAGTATCTAATGGTCATTGTAATATTTTGCACGAGTCTTCGTACTTTGAAAAGAGGTTGTTTATTTTTCCACCCATATTTCAAAGTAATTCAAAGTAAAGAAGTGCTCTCTATAGAAATTTACTTATGGTACAATCACCACCTATTTTTGTGAATTCCTTACTTCCCTACTGCTTAATAAAAGTTGTTTTTTTTTTCGAGGGTTCGCAACAGTAGAGGTCATATCAACCCTCAGGGTGCCGGTGTTTTTGAAAAAAAAGCCCTTTTGTAACCTCCGATTTATATTATTTATTTATTTAATTGTTGACAAAACCTATATGTGAGAGAGAAACAACAAGGGAGCACCCATTTAGTTTATTTAAATTCAAAGCTCGTTTTTAAGTCCCTTTCCCCTCCTAATTCCTCAGCAACTAGCTAGGAAATATTAGGGAAGTTTAGCCTCAAAACCACAAATCCCATGCGCCCGCCCGTTTGAATTAAGTTTAGAGTATGGCGGGTCCGCCGGTATAGGGTCTCCCTTAGGTACGGCGGGGAAGGAGGAGAGTAAAAAAAAGAAAGAGGCATTCACAATAATAGAAAACCTGTCGCTTCATCTCCTTGGCAATAACTGCTCCGGGTCTACACTTTATCCTCCAGAGTATGTAGTTTCCAGGCAGCAGTTTTATTATTACTAGTCTCTTCTTTGTCTTGGTCACTTCCTCTTTCGCTCTCAATTTCTATATCTCTTCTATCATTCCTGTGTCGGAGTGAAGGCTCCCTTGTGTCCTCAGCCTGCTTAAGATTTCGCACCATTCAAGAGACATTGAACTCCATCATGGAAGCTGACCAGTCGGCCAAAGCAGAGATGGAAAAATGGATCCTCGACAAGTGGCAGAATCGATGGTCCCACAGCGCAAAGGGCAGAACCACTTTTGAGTACTACCCAAAAGTACAAGTGCCGAATGTCGTCCTTGTGGATTAAGCCCAACTTTTGGCTCTCCCGATTCCTGAGTGGACGTGGAAACTTCAGGTCGTACAGATCCCGCCTGTCAACCTCTGCAATCTGCGGAAGGTGCGACGCGACCTAGGGTATGGAACATGTGCACCTTACGAAACCCACAGAAAGCCGCTCAACGAAATGTTCCAAAGTTGGCCAGCAGAAAAACGGAGGCTTGCGATGGACAAGAAAACCTATGAAATATTCCACAGGATTGTGACTAACAGCGCCAAACAAGAAGCGTAGTAAAGATGGAGGAGGTAAAATAGGGGAGAAAAACTACTAAGTATTTAGATAGTTAAAACTTTAGGGAAATCAGGTTGTTTCTCTCGTTTAGCTTAATATTTATTTAAAATTTGTCGGAAAAAAGTTTCACGTTTTCAACTAGCTAGGAAATATTAGGGAAGTTTAACGTCAAAACCACAAATCCCATGCGCCCTTTTGAATTAAGTTTAGAGTATGGCGGGTCCACCGGTATAGGGTCTCCCTTAGGTACTTAGGTATTCGAACCCGGGACCTTTACCTTACAGTAGTTTCCAGTCAGCAGTTTTATTATTACTAGTCCTAATAGGTTTAGCAGTTGGTAGTTTCTGCGAAGGTCCTTTGACGAATAATAGTTTTCGACTTTTTTTTACGTCAATGACTAAATAAATAACTTTGACAGCCAAAAAAAAGTTATTATATTTTACGTACACTGTAACTTTGATGAGGTAGATCTGAGAGTAGTACTAGAAATTGTCGTTCATCAGTTACTTTTTATTGTTTACTTCATGCACTTTATGTATTGACCAGTGGTTGGGGTTTTTCTACGAGGTGTCGCAACAGCAGTGGTTATATATAAGTTGGTATGCAGGGCCGCTGGATTCGAACCCGGGACCTTTACCTTACAGTGATGAGCTCCGTGTCAACGCCTAAACCGTTGCGGCCACCGACGCCCCAAAACAGTTAATTGATTGATGGTTTCATACAAGCTCAACTCTACAACATGTGCACAGAATTGTACCTAAGACTATCACCAAGTTCGATCTTATCCGTCCTAACATTTTCTGTTATACTTTAGAACCAGATTTTACACCTCTTTCACTCACTTTTTCCTATTTTCATAACAGTCAGTTAGTACGTGAAAGTACTCGATATTCAACCAACGCCACTCCCACATACACTCACTCTCGTTATGCAGAAAAGAGAGCAAAAAATGAGATATCTATCGGTACTATATACTACTATAAAACAGTCCTGTTACGCGCCGATACCCCTTCCAGTGGAAATACGCTACATATTCACGCTAATAAATACACTCACTTTTAATACCCACAAAATGAGATATCAATACTATATACAATAAAACGGCACTGTTTATTCCAAATATCCCAGGTTACTCGCCGTCTACGCTCTTTCTGTAAGGAGCCAAGTAATGATGGCATTCAATTAAGTGGCAAACACCGAAAAAACCTTTCTAAAGTGTAAAAAAAAAAACGTGATTTCTAGATTTTTCCCGTTGTCACGCAATTAAGCCTTAAAAACGATACACGCAGATCTCCCTTGCAATAAAAGTATAGATACACATTCAACCTCATAAATTCACTCACTTTCAACGCATACAAAATGAAATATCAGTACTATATGCAATAAAACAGTCTTGTTTCCTTCAAAAATCCCAGGGAGCCCAGGACTCGTTGTCCTGTTACTCCACTAGATTCAAAAATTTCAAAAAATGATTTGAATCATTTCCAAAGCTTGAAATCTAATGGGAACAGATTCACTCTGTGCAACAAAGGTTGCAGCTTAATTTTTTTAAATATTTGGTCCAAAAAAGGTCGCCGTTTCCTCCTGAACTCCATCATCCGACCTACTCCCCTTCACTTAGCTCAATGCTGTAAAATTTGTTGCCGATGCAAACTGGAGAGATAAAAGTAGTTGAATATCCTTTTTATCGTAATCTCTTTACACGTGTTTTATTAATTTACGGAAAGAATAAAAGTCTAGGAAACATCTAACCATCTGTTGGTCTCTCGTCGTTGTTGTTCTTATGCCGTAGATAAAAATGGTCAAAATTAATTTTTTGTCATAAATATTTGTATTTTCTTTATAAATAAACGTTTTCTGTTTTGTTCCAGAGGGAAGAAAGTTGGACGAGTCGTTTTCTCCCTGGTTGTCGCTCGGAGACCCTTCCTCTATAAAATAATTAATTAAAAGTAGAAGAAACCTAGGTTGGAACGTTGAAATCCCATAGGAAGAGAATAGTGAAGCGAGTTGCGCCGTTTGGCGGGGATGGTGGACTGATAGTGGACTGGAGGAATATGGTGGGGCGCAAGAGGCAGAAGGTAGGTCGACCCACTCCGTCCAAGACGTCTCCAGTTCGTGACGAGGCCAAGTCCTTTCAGGAGCTTGATCCGTTCGCGCCCGAAGTTCGGAGTGAATTGAATTTTCCCCATCGATGCACCACGCTGTTTCGGATGTATTCAACTATAAAAAGGTAAGGTGGAAGATTTTTTTTTATTGTCAACTTTGCTGGATGATGTTGACCGGCTTAGGATCCTGGAGAGAGTATCAATATCCCCATATGGCCCTCGGATCCTTGAACTTGCGGTTAACGGTCCGACCACCTTCCTGGAGGCCGGTGGTTAAAACAAGAATGGTGGTCTTTTTTCCTCTTCTTTTTTTATACTTATGGTTTGTCTAAAAATTAAATGAGCTTTGAATCCATCCCGGCTTTGAAAAATTTATCTCTTCGCTTTATATTTTTATTAGAGGAAAATGCCAAATTTTTCTCACTGACTATTGAATATAGTTCTTTCTGATACTTTATGGTCCTTATTTATCTTTTGTTTTGTGTACTGCTTGTTTTTAAGAATTCAGGATCTTCTAAGTTCACCGATTGTGTGTTTGTCTTTCACAGTCTTCTCCCCCGGCTTATTTGACGTTTGGAAAGAAACAGACCAGGCGTTTATATAAGCTACGAAGGGGTTAAAAACTTCGATTTCGACTGTAGGATATAATTTTGACGATAGTACCAGCCGTTTCGTTATTCTCCGGAGCGGCATAAAGGACCCTTTGTTCTTGTTCAGCCAACGACCTCCACTCGACTCCTGGGGCCTTTCGTAGAATCGGCCTCTTCTTCCGTCTCCTCTCCAGATTGACCGTTATTAATTCGATTTAACACTTCGACATCGATTGGGCAATATATTGCGACCGAAGACGGCTTCGCGAGTTGCACAACCTTCATGACACGGTCGGGGGTGTCTAATTTTTAACGCCTTTCTCGCGATTTTTCTCCTTTTTTTTTGTAAAGGGCGAATTGCAATCCTTTAGGAAAACTGGTAGATGCCAAGTAGACACAAAAAGTAATATATATTTCAAAATCTCCAGAGCGATTATAGCAAATATGAAATACCAACTTGACATACTAAAAGGAAATCGGCGATTATTCATTCTGGCCGACCGATTTTTCTCTTTCCATCTCTCTCACTCACTCACTCCCTCACTCCCCCNCACCCTCTCTCTCCAGAAAAAAAATCTGTAGCAAATTTCCTTTTTGCAACTCAGCCTTTTTCCCCCCTGGGAGTGTTTCTTTTCTCGGCTCTGGCTTTCATTTTCGTTATCAAAGGCCTGTGCGATTATCTCACTCGGTAGTTTGTTAGTTTTCAGTTTCTGCGTCACTCTTCCACGGCCTACACTTTTCAAAGTCACCGTTTTTTTTCACGGAGTTAACAAAATAAAGCCCCATCCATAAGCCATGACAATTTAAAGCTCTTAAAGGCCCTTATTGAATAGAAGAACAGGGAATATATTTTATCATTTTGTCATCATAAAATAAAAAAAATAATAAATTGAACAGTACAATTTAATGTCTTTCATATGTGGAATCTTGTGTGTAGGATGTTTTATTATTGCCCTTTCGAAATACTCGAAAAACTGATAAAACAGGCGCATTAATTAAAAATAAGCCATTAATGATATTTTCAGATAGCATATTTTGAAGGCCTTACCTTAGCTCTCTTTTCATTAGGGTTGAATAAAGTTTCACTTATGGTTCACTTATGGTATGTAAAAAACTACAAAAAAAGGCAGATTTTAATTAGCCCATTAACAGAAATGTACAAGTATATCTGGTATCTTTGAGTTTATTTGATTGTTTACGCCTTTGGGACAAGCTTTGTCCGGGGTGTCGCAATAAACAGCAGGAATAGGCGGACCCATGGGGCGATCGGTAACGTGACCAGTGATGCAACTTGATTCTGAAGGAGGTAAAGTTTCTGAAACAGTTATATAAATTGTCAAAGAGTCATATGTTTCAAAAATGGTTTAATGAATATTTAAACAATTTACGTAATACGGTGCTGTCGTTCGACTCGAGAGTATTATTTCCTTAATTAAAATATTTTTTTCCCTTTTCAACTGCCAAATTAAACGCACCACTTATGAATTGCGCAACATGCTCTAAAGACGTCTCATAAATTTTCCATATCGTGCAATCTCTCGGCAGATCATAAAATGAAATAATGAGTCCATGAGAGAGAGCGACCGATACTTAGAATTATCGACAGACCGACAGATACTAAAAGTAAAGAGAAGAGAGGGAGCAAGAGAGAGAGAGAGAGAGAGAGAGAGAGAGAGAGAGAGAGAGTGAGTGAGAAAAGAGACTGAGAATCATCAAAAGATAGGAAACGAGAAAGAAAGAGCGAGAGTTGGAGATGAAGAGAGAGAGAGAGGGAGAGAGAGACTGAGAATCATCAACAGATAGGAAACGAGGCGAGAGATGGAGAGGAAGAGAGAGAGAGAGAGAGAGAGAGAGAGAAAGAGCGAGAGATGGAGAGCGACAGACAGGCGGACAGAAAGAGAGAGGGAAAGCGAGTGAGAAATAGTTGGAAAGACAGAAATACATAAAGACAGACAGACATAATTTTAGAAAAGGGAACTGGAAGAAAGGGACAAAAGAGAGAGATTGAGTGTCAAATGCAGAGAGCGATAGATAGTCAGAAAGACAGGGAACGAAAAAAAAGGAGAGATAAGAAAATAAAGAAACAAATTAAAAGCTTTAATGTCCATGTCCTTCGCACAGCCCAGCTTAGCCTCCTGCTAACACGTTCGACAATTATTGAGCAATCGTAAAAGGAAAAATAAGTAATGGAAGTCAAGATTACAAGTAAATACCAAGAGCAAATAACGGTTGTAACAATCGCATACCGTTAAGTTTATTAACACTTTTTTAACCAAGAACATAGATGCTTCTGTGTGCAGAGTCGATTGAAACTTTTCTATTGTAAGAGAATTATAGCAGTCATGATTTATATTAATGGGAGTCCGAGAGTGGGATCCCCTTCACCAAAGTTACACCAGTGAAACGAGGCTGAAGAACGAGAACCAGTCTCGAGATGAAAAATCTGGCTTTACTTGTCAAACTAAACTCTCGGTCGAGTTATTTTTAAATCCTTGAGACGGATTGCAATAAAATCAAGTTCATTTTTCGTGCAATTACGTTCTCAATCAGCAGGATAAATAGCTTAACGCACAAATTAGGCTGCTTTTGCCTTCATTTCGTTCACTTATTATTATCTTCCCTATTGTAATATACAGTTTATTCCAGAGAGTTTCAAAAAATAATGTATGTTTTTTTTTATTGTCTACTGAAGATCCGTATGTCTTTGGTCTCGTGCCCCTTCCTAACCTCTCTGGGTCTGCCTGTGAGATCCCCACTTTGCGTTCATATTTACCTGACAAATAAAACATTTCAGCGCGTATTAATAAACTGAAAGATCAAAAAATCAAGTCCCCCCTAAATTTACAATCATAGCAAAGTTCGATGGATTAATAATATAGCATCGTTGATCCAACACAAAAAATTTAAGAACCCGCATTCGCCAGTTAAGTTCTGTGAAAAATTATTTCGTCACAATTGGAGGCTGGCTTATTTTCCAAATGTCAAATACGTTTGTCGTTTATTATGCCTACTTCACCTGGATTTATGTAGGTAAATAACATTTGGCGCCATTATTTTTGATTATTAATATGTTGTTTGTCAAATTATATTTACGATTTTGTAATCGTTATTTTCTTAAACGACGTATAACATTAGATACTGTTTTGTCTTATTTTTCCGTTTTTTTCACTTTCTGGACGATACACTGCCGGCTGCCCTTTGGCCAGGAAATACTCAAATATCATTCTTTTCCCAAAGCCCGGCAAGCTTATCCAGCTTCTTCCTAAGGCCCAAGCCTATTCATTTAGTTTCTTTAGAAGATCCTTCTCAAAGAGCTCAAAAGACATTGCTCATCCCTCGAGCGCAAAGAATCCTGAGGGTTCTTGAGCTGTCACGTTTGACCACATGTGGCACGAGGGTGTCTTATACAAACCAAAACATGTCCTTCCATCATGTTCCTAATCCTTCTTCCTAATGGAATGATTCTTTTGCCAATCCTGTGCCTCCTCAGATATCCCGATTACACTCACAATCCTTCAGACACAGCTATGACATAATTTTCTACTTACCTCCGAAACAAAACCCCTCAACATATACCTCTGACTATGGTAGTACCTTGAGTACTATATCCAATAGGACTCTTTTTATTACCAATGATATGGTTAAAAAATAATCCCAGACAAATTTGTCACGGCCTATAATAAACTTTCTTTCAACGCGGAGATTGCCCCGGGATGGCCTAAAAAATAATTAACTATTACTTTTTACTATAGGAGAGTAACATTGGTTCCTGGGACCCCTATTTGTACAGATATTAAAAACTCGAAGGTAATTCCTGTCATTTCTGAAATGTCTAACCAGTTTACAATACTTTTTTCTCATTTTCAATCAACGCAGGATTCCAACCCAAAACCGCTAGCGTGGCAAATACGAGTCGGACGCCCTAACCGCTCGGCCACCGCGGTCCCAAAAGTAAATTAATTCCTGATAGACGACCTACCATTTGGGTGTTGAGGACGATGGATCAAACCACTTTACAATACTTCTTTCAATACTATTCTCAATTAAAAAACCATGGCTGTGACGGGATTTGAACCCAGAAGCGGTAGCAAATAGGAGTCGGACGACCTAACCATCCATCTACATGGGTTCGAATCCTTGCCCACGCCGTGAAATTAAATTACACTGAGCCTGTTTAACACGAATTATTTTATTTTACAATGCGGTTTGGTCTGCTGTTGTTAGTTTAACCTCCCATCATCCTGGTCCGCTTATTCTCGAAGGACCTTAAGAATATTGAGAACCTTAAAAAACACGAATGAACAAGAAAAATTACGGAAAGTTGTCTAATCTTCCGAAAAGGTGGATAGGCCTTGGGAGACGGATCCATGGAGCTTGAAGGACGAGGCAAAATATCACGTCCGAGCACAGTTAATTTTTGTTCACCGTTGACAAAAAACAGCAATGACGGTAATATAACGGTCACATTTATCATTGATACTATCATAGGATTCATTGATTCCTATTGGGAAAAGTGACGTCACAGTAGACAGACTAGTCTATTTAAATTTTTTTTTAAAAGTGCACCTGTAGCAACAAGGTTTAATGAGGTCGATCAAGTATAATCAACCCGCCGTTACTGATGCAACCATCATCAGTGTGTTCTGATCTCTGATGGCGAAATGCCAAAACCCAACTAGGATAGGCAGATCAAAATAACCGGTAACAACCCAATTGCAGGTTCATCACCTCGCAGATCACAGGAGGAAATCTTAAATCAAATGAAAATAAGTGCCAAAACTTAAAACGTGAGCATGTTTATGATCTAGGAGTTATTTTTAATAATAACTTCGCCCGACTCGAAGACCGGTCGGATTGGATTGGAAGTCACAAGAATATTAAATTCGGTTTTGTTTCAATGGAAGGTTCTGAACGATACAATTGATTCCATGTGATCTTGGTCAGCATAGGGTTGAGAGTTATCGACTCCACGCCCATGAATTGCTTTATGCTCGCCAACAAGGACAATCGTGCAACTTTACAGATGTGCGATATCAATATGGAGACAGCACAGACCTTTCCTTACCGCTTTTCAAAAAGAATATCACACCAGCTTTAAAATTTTATCTCCGGAGATTGATTTCGGCTTCGCCATTTGTAAAAAAGCAATTTATAATTAGTTTTGTATGCAATGACCACCTGTATGTTACAAATGGTAGAATGAATAAAGTGACAGCTACAGCCAATGCAGAGACTCACCGTCGAAATTGATATTCGGTGGCAACCCCTTTTTAACCGTAATTGATGGAGAACACGCGAGCGTTATGACAGCACAGGTACCGTCGTTCGCCGAATGTGCACTGCGGTATCGTAAATCTAAACTAGCACAGTTCTCGTTGAAATTTATCACGAGGCCTTCGTGTACACCTTCCTCCTTTTTTTCTTTAGGCAAATAATCACTGTATCATCGTTAGATCTGTCGCATTCAGCCATGTTGGGAACACACAAATAGGACAAATGGATCAGAAAAACGAAGGCGATCTGGCTATAGAAGCTACAAGCTACAAGTCGATAGACTACATCCATCCCAGTCTATTTATCCTCGTTGGTTTTGTCGTGTCATGTTAAGAATTTAGAAGAAGGACAAAAGGCAAGAAAAACACCCAGACCAACCATTGAAGAGGGCCAAGGCGATTTAGCTATGTAAGTAACAACCTGATCGACTCCGAGTGTCCTGGTCTGCTTATTCTCGTTTGTTTAGTTGCATGGTAAGAACCCAATAGGAGGACAAATGGACAAAAAACATCCAGACTAACCAGTGAAGAGGGTCAAGCGATTTAGCTATGTAAGTAACAAGCTACAAGTGGCCAACTCCGAGTGTCTGGTCTGCCTATTCTTGATGGTTTAGTCGCATTTAGCCATGTTAAGAACCCACAGGTGGTTAGCCTTGGGATGCGTTTCAGATCAAATACTTGCACACATGTGACCAACTATTGTTAAAACCCAACCCGGGATTTTTTCCCTTCTTAGAATCTTCTTCAGTGGTGGGTAGAAAAAAAGATCAAATTGTAAAAGTTGAAACGGTTCCCTGCCCGTTGGGACTTTTCCGGAGGGCGCTCCACGGCGTGTGGGACGGGCGATGAATTCCTGGCATGTTTCCTTTTCAAGCGTTTAACGCCTTTAGCCAGTCGTCAGTACAAGTTTTTAAGCCGAGTCGAATAAAAAGATACAAGTTATCCCCCAGGCCGGTTCTATCTTAATCTTTCGGCCGACGACTCGCGTGGGAAAAGCTTTTATAACTGGACGGTTCAGTTGCCGGCATTACTACAATTGGAA